CTAACCATTCTATTGGAAAGTGCTGAGAAAACTGTTGGCGCCATATAAATCCTGAATAATATCTTTCCACGGTTTCTCAACTCCTCACTTTACTGCAGCCAGCCTTGTGATCCCAAGCACCCGTGCCAGGCAGCACAGTCCAGGGTACGCCGGCTGGACACTGAGGTTCTGTTGAGTAATAGAGAGTACAACAGATGCTCATTTAGAAAAACCGCGTATCCAATACGAGACTCGGGATTCCATGACACCTTCACCGATGTTCCTTTTAAACCAATGTTGTCAGCTGTGGCGCCTGTATCCTTGGCTTGGCAGATCTGATTTTTAGAATGTGACAGGTTCACTTTAAAGCAGACCTTTCACTCTCATAGGCTGGAGGAACCGGGCTATGGTCCTATCAGTAGGTACCAAAAGATGCCTTCACATGTCCATTCTACCTACCCTGAGGGCCCCCAACATTGGCCAAGCCAAAGGCAGATTTCCAACTTGGACCTAGTCATCCACAATGCAACGTGTGTGCCTGTCTGAGTACAAGCTGGAAATGTATACGGAACACATCTGTGCCTGCAGGAACCGCCTTGTAATGTCTTACAGGTGATAATGACAGACTTCTTCAAAATATAGATCTATAGGCAAACTACCCCCCCCACCCCCCTCCAACTTTGTCCTATTGGGGAGATTTGCCCTCACTTCCTGTCCCATAGCCAAAAAGTGCGAGGTCGCCAGAACTAGTGTCCCCTTTGGAAGATTTCCCCTCGTGCTGTTCTGGGGACAACCCAAAATTTGCTGCGTACTTTCACTTTCATTGTTATTGGTAAACAGAGAGGGGGAATCTCCCTAACGGGGACCATTATTATATTATAATATATATATATATATATATATATATATATATTATATATTTTTTTATTTTTTTTTATTTAAAAAGGCATTAGATGCTATTGTCTGGGAGCGCCATTTATAAGCCGGGCTGCAGAATACATGTGCATCTGTTGAATGGCTGTAAATGGACAGATCAAAGCCAGTGCAATCAGAGTGGCTCTGTGCCTTGTGATCTTTGTGCGCCAATCACAGACGACATGGATGTAAACAAACGGCCCATTTACAAGAGAGAAAGAGGTATGCTAAATGTTTGTAAACAAAGCGGATCAAAGGTAAAAATGGGGTCACCGATGATTGGGGGTTTGCTTGGGGAAGGGGGGGGGGGGGGTAAAAGAGACACTGACCACCAATATTGTATAGTAAAAAAAAAATTAAGCAATCCCAAAAACATTGGTCCTTCTTTTTTGTTTGGTTTTTTTTTTTTTTTTTTATAGAGAGATAGATTATAGATAGATATATATATAGATATAGATATATATATATATATATATATATAAATAACAAATGTTAAATACCACTAAAAAGAAACCTGTATCTGTCTCAAAACCTATAACCTGTATTTGTGTACTTTGTTGCAAGAGGGAGTCATTGTCCGTCAGATGATCACAAGCCTGAATAATGGCGGGTAACAGACTGGTACTGAAGTGGTTAAGTCTCTGGCATTGTGCAATATTCCTCCATAGCCGTGTTATATTTTTCCCGCGAGCTCGTTATCTGCGTCTCCCTGAGCCAGAACAAGCACCGGCCTCTCCTGCCAGGGCACAAACCTGTCGGATTGGTTTCCCGTCTGCCACGGCATCCGTGTCACCTTGAGCTGCCTGTCCCAGGAGAAGCAGATGGCAGCGGCTGGGTGTCCCGGTTCGGACGCGCTTTTCTAGGTCGTTTATTTTTATGTCGCTTAATTGCCACTACAGAGTTCATGTCACAGGCCTGCTGGATATCCGAGCATTCACTGAAACTGGCAGAGAGGTAGACATGGCGGTGCCAGGGCCGGATTATGACTGCTCGGGGAACGTCGGGCCACATTTGTCTCGGCAGTCTTGTGATCCCATCGTAGATCCTTGTAAGATGCAAGTTTTGCTCATGGAGGAGCATCGGGGGTTAAAATGGTTATCGGAATTCTTAAACATTTGTCTGAAAACCCGAGGCTAGAAACGACGTGTACTGCAAGTAAAACCGGGTTCATGTTCTGGGTGACTTGTAACATTTGGCTTCATTTGTAGGACTTTCTGCATGTTCAGTATTACACAGAACATGTACCAACCACACGCCGGCTTTACATTGCTTTCCCCTAATGTTACATACTAAGACCTCTTTCCTTCTGTCCTTCCCGCCTGCTTTCCTTTGCTCCTCCTCTTCTTCCTTTCTTTGTTCCTTTTCTGCCTTCTCTTCCTTCTTTCCTTCCTGCCTTCTCCCCTCCCTCCCTCCCTTCCTTCCTGCCTTCTCCCCTCCCTCCCTCCCTTCCTTCCTGCCTTCTCCCCTCCCTCCCTCCCTCCCTTCCTTCCTGCCTTCCTGCCTTCCTTCCTTCCTGCCTTCTCCCCTCCCTCCCTCCCTTCCTTCCTGCCTTCTCCCCTCCCTCCCTCCCTTCCTTCCTGCCTTCTCCCCTCCCTCCCTCCCTTCCTTCCTGCCTTCTCTTCCTTCTTTCCTTCCTGCCTTCTCCCCTCCCTCCCTTCCTTTCCTTCCTGCCTTCTCCCCTCCCCTCCTTTCCTTTCCTTCCTGCCTTCTCCCCTCCCCTCCTTTCCTTTCCTTCCTGCCTTCTCCCCTCCCCTCCTTTCCTTTCCTTCCTGCCTTCTCCCCTCCCCTCCTTTCCTTTCCTTCCTGCCTTCTCCCCTCCCCTCCTTTCCTTTCCTTCCTGCCTTCTCCCCTCCCCTCCTTTCCCCCTTCCTTTCCTTCCTGCCTTCTCCACAATTGAAAAGAATTGATATTCAATACGTCAATCTAATTTGCTGCAGCTTGTAGGAGCCGAGGGGTACTTGTGAGCAGCTCACAGTGTGTAGGGAAATCGGAGGAAGCCATTTCAGTCCAGGGGAGGAGCCGGGACACCTGTGTGTGAGGACTGGAGGGGAGGAGCCGGGACACCTGTGCGAGACTGGAGGGGAGGAGCCGGGACACCTGTGCGAGACTGGAGGGGAGGTCAGATTTAGGACTCCTCTTGTTCTGCCAGTACACAGGCAGAGTGCTGTACAGTGATTGGCAAAGCCAGACTGCAATTGTGGGGCTGGGGGTTGTGCGCTGGGGGTTGTGCGCTGGGCTGCGGTCCTACAACCTACCCTGGTGTGTGTTTATGCTGGGTCCGTTTTTGTGTATATGACAGATACTTTACCCTCCCCCAGCACTCCTCTCCATGCGGCTCCGCCTCAGCATCGCTGATATCTGTTTTACTTTTTTTTTTTTTTTTTGTTTCTGTACTGTTTTTTGTCTTCAATGGCTTTGCCCGCCTGTGATTTCCAGAATTCACCCAGACCAGGGGTGGGCAACCTGCGGCTCTCCAGCTGTTGCAGGACTAAACGTTCCATCATGACTCTGCAAGTCATAGCTGTAACTGTCAGTTTTGCAATGTCTCATGGGAAATGTAGTTCCACAACAGCTGGAGAGCTGCAGGTTGCCTACCCCTGGCCTAGGCGAATGATGTGGTCCCTCCTGGGATGCGAGGCGTCCCATTCGGTAAGGGATGGGGGGGCGGGCCTAGTGGCACCTGCCTGGAACAATGGGCAGCTGTCAAAGGTAACCTGGCGTTGTCAGACCCGAGCAGAGAGGAGGATCCCAGCAGGTCCACGCTGGATCCACTGACTAGGTGAGTATGTTTCCATAAGGCAGTGAGGGGGGAGGGGCAAGGCTAACGTTTCTCTTTAAGAAAGCTTGTGTCCCCTTGGCATCCATTTTCCTGTAGTCGCCTTTCTCCTCTCTGCCCTCTACACACGTCTGTCGTCTCTCATCACTGTGCCAAAATTAATCTGCGTCCCTTCTCTCCCAGCAGATGGATAGAGCTCCTCGCGGCTTCCTTCCTGTGATCTGAAGTGGTGTAGAGGTAATGTGGGTGTCGGGGGGCAATGTGTCCACTGCTTTCATTTTTTGGACCCTCTTCTTCAAGTAGAACTCTAGGGATCCCCCATCCTTAAAGTGGAACATCTAAGCACTGGCAGCAACAAGGAGTCTTAATGTGAAACTAGGTTCCCCCCCTTCCCTCTTAAAGTAGACTCCAGGACCCCTCCCCTAGTCCCTCTTAAAGGGGAACTCCAGGTTTTTATTGCTAATGATCCCCTCTATTGGTCCTGGTTGCAGTTGTCACTAAGATGCATACGTGTTACATAGTCCCAGTCCTGCCAGCGCTGACACCATCCAATCCCTGGAGGTTTACTGTACAAAGAAGATGGCCTGCAACTGGTGGGGTTTAGGAACGGTGGGGGGATTCTTGCTCTTCTTTTCTGTTCTCCCCCAAAGTAGAACTTCAGGACCCCCATGACTCTCCTCCTCCTCCTCCTCCGACCTGATGTGTGTTTGTATTTTACTTATTATTTCAGGTACTTTATATACCGCCTGCAATTTACACAGGTGTGGGTGTGCGTGTGCGTGTGCGTGTGCGTGTGTGTGTGTGTGTAGTACATTCACATCAGTCCCTAACCCTCAAGGGGCGTACAATCTAATCTCCCTGACTCACATTCATACATACACATACTAGGGCCAATTTAGACAGGAGCCAATTCACCTACCAATATGTCTTTGGAGTGTGGGAGGAAACCAGTGTACCCGAAGGAAACCCATGCAGGCACAGGGAGAACATGCAAACTCCAGGCAGGTGGTGCCGTGGTTGGGATTGGAACCAACGACCCGAGTACTGCCAGGCGGAAGTGATAACCATTTAGCCACTGTGCCGCCCAGTACTGTGGATTCTTTATTACAGATCTGTACTATGTCTTGTATTGCTGTCAGTCGTCTTGTATGAACTCATATTCGATTTCTCTGTATTCAGGATTGGAAGTGCCGGCTCAGGCTAGGTGTCCCAGTTCCCCAGGGTCGCGGTACGTATTTACTAAGGTTCCTTTTTGTGCCAGTCTCTCCTCCTTATTCCAGACCTGTCTGACTTGCTTCTCTTCCTCAGGAATCCCCCCAAGTGCTGCAAGATGTTGCGAAAGAACATGATAGAGGTGTTGGTTCGAGGGGCCCTGAATCCTCCTCTTCGTCTGTCCTCCATATTTCTCCGATGCCACTCCACCTCGGCCACAGACCACCACCATGCAGAGCTGGCCAGGGAAAGATCCAAGACCGTCACTTCCTTCTACAACCAGTCCGGCATTGACCTGGCAGCGGAGAAGGTAACTGTCCGCCAGACTGGACCAATCAAAACCGGGATATAAATACACGAGGAGAGATTTTCAGATTCTCGCCTGCTTCTGTCTTTTCAAATATTATACAACTGATTTCCTTCGCCACTGATGGGATGGGGGGCATGGAGTCATCAGTACATTACTTCTGTATTTCAATAGAGTTCATGATCCTTTAGCTCATGGTTGCCAGAAAGAATCGAGCTTGTCCGTCATGGATACATACCACCCACATGTCTGTTTCCTCGCTGTGTCTGGGGTACTGCTGGTGTCTGGGGTACTGCTGGTGTCTGGGGTACTGCTGGTGTCTGGGGTACTGCTGGGTGTCTGGGGTACTGCTGGTGTCTGGGGTACTGCTGGTGTCTGGGGTACTGCTGGTGTCTGGGGTACTGCTGGTGTGGGGTACTGCTGGGTACTGCTGGTGTCTGGGGTACTGCTGGTGTCTGGGGTACTGCTGGTGTACTGCTGGTGGAGTACTGGTGCCTGGAGTACTGCTGGTGCCTGGAGTACTGCTGGTGTCTGGAGTACTGCTGGTGTACTGCTGGTGCCTGGAGTACTGCTGGTGTCTGGTGGAGTACTGCTGGTGTCTGGAGTACTGCTGGCACTGCTGGTGCCTGGAGACGCCTGAGTACTGCGCAAAATCATGTGTGTGTGTTTTTTGTACGTGATTTTGCATTTCCGGGTAGGGGGCGTGCACACAACCTTGGCTGTCAATCACCGGGTCCTGGCTGGTGATTCCCCACCAGCACCCAGCGATCTCCGAGTATTACTGATGGGAGAGAGACCTGTATGTAAACAATACAGATCTCTCCCTTGTCAGCTCCTGCACACTGCTTTGTATGGCTCTGTATAGCAGACCAATACAAAGCAGTGTGCATACAGTGTAAAGCACACACACAGCCCACATAGTAAAAAACAGCACACAGTTAACCCTTTGATCGGCCCACATGTTAACTCCTTCCTGCCCAGTGTCATTAGTACAGTGTCATTGCTTTTTATTAGCACTGATCACTGTATTGGTGTCACTGGGGAAGTCAGTGACAACAAGTCAGTTCCCCCCAGTGTCAGAATGCCAGCCGCAGTCCCGCTATAAGTCGCTGTTTGCCGCCATTACTAGTTAAGAAAAAAAAATTCCAGTATCTATACCGCCATTTGTAAACGCTATAACTTTCACGTAAACCAATTTTATTTACACGTATTGGGTTTTTTTTTTTTTTTTTTTTTTTTTTTTTTTTAGCAAAGATATGGAGCAGAATACATTTTGGCCTAAATTTGACAATTTTGTTTTTTTTTCACTGGACAGGTTTAATAGCAAAAAGTAAAAAATATTTTTTTTTTTTGGTTTGGCTATGTTTTTTGTGTTTTTTTTTTTTTTTGTTTTTTTTTTTTCAAAATTGTCGTCGTTTTTTTTTTTTTTTTTTGTTTTTTGTTTATAGCACAAAAAATAACCGCAGAGGCGATCAAATACCACTGAAATAAAGCTCTATTTATTTGAGTGGGGGGAAAAAAGGCCGTAAATTTAATTTGGGTGCAGCGTTGCATGACCACGCAATTGTCAGTTAAAGTAATGCAGTACCGTATCTCAAAAATGGCCTGGGCAGGATTGGGGGGGGGGGGGGAATCCTCTGGAGGGCAAGTGGTTAATAGACAGGAAATTTTGGGAATAGCAGGGTTGGGGATGTGTGGTCGTCCTGCAGCATTGCTGACTTGTTTCTTGATTACATTTTAGCCGTCCGTGCGTCTGACCCCCACCACCATGCTGTACTCGGGTCGCTCTCAAGATGGCAGTCACATTCTGGTAAGCTGCAGTCAGTTCTGATTGGTTGATCACACACACATCTGTTGTAGAAATTCATGACTGTGCTGCTGTTTTCATACTACTGCAGTTTGCATCTTTACCTGTTGCCACCTGCGGGACGCATGTATGTCGACAAAAGGATGCACTTTAGTACCCACCTCAATGTTTCTGTGCTGAGGGCGCACTTCCCAGCATAGAGACAGCTCTCAGTCCCCACTAATGGTCAGGATCCGGTCCTGCTGACTACCAATCACGTCACCACCCTGACAGCCAATCACTGTGGTCACATGATCACCGATCCTTCCTGCCCCCCTGAGTGTTCAGAAACTCTTTAAAGCAGTGTTTCTCAACTCCAGTCCTCATGGACCCCCAACAGGTCATGTTTTCAGGATTTCCATTATTTTGCACAGGTGATTTGATCAGTTTCACTGCCTTAGTAATTACCCACAGCTGCTTCATCTGAGGGAAATCCTGAAAACATGACCTGTTGGGGGTCCATGAGGACTGGAGTTGAGAAACACTGCTTTAAAGGGATGTCAAGGCGGGTGGGAAGGGGTTAACTGGAGCGCCAGCCAAGGTATATTCTAGCTCCTGAGGGCTCCTCTGTCGGGATTTTTTAACCTCCATTAATGAAAGTTCCTGTAAGCCCTATCCGGGGGCTTCAGTGATGGTTTGAAGCTGGTTGGTTTTCAGATATCGTCACAATAGTTGTAAAACTGCAGAGAATTCTAGTGGTAGGATTTCAGCAGGAAACCAGTCGTTCCACCTTTTTACACATCGGATCCATTATTGTAATCCAGTGAATAGATCAGATTTGAACCTTATCTGCTTCTTCGAAGATGGAATGTGATCCCGACCTTTACAGAGGGTCTGTACTGTGGATGCCGTGGCCAACAAAGGCAGACATGGCAAAGGACTGGTCACCAGTATTGCCTATAGCTGCCCTATCACGGACATACCATGCCTTGTTCTGCATCTGTGTGGAGGCTGCCATCTTTGCAGAGGAGCAGGACATCCTCCTTGCGGGCCCCCCCATCCCTGACTGGTAGAGTAATAATGAAGCATCAGGAGAGGAGGAGCAAGGACAGATCACAGAATGGATAAAGCGGAAGCAGGGAGATCCTTGCACTGCAGGTCCCCAGGTACAGCTTCTTCTCCAGCAAGGAGAACCGTGAAGGAGTACACTAGTGGCATCACCAAATTTGGTGCAGCAATCGCAGGCTGCAGTTCCTTAGATGATCTCGCACTGCACATATACAGATATGAGGCTCCGGGCACAGGATGTACACTTCTCTTTTTCAGGAGACATTCCAGACAAAAGGTAGATTGTCCAGGATACTGCCCAGGGACAGTTCAGGGCCACATTGACAAATACACAGTAAACCTGCGAGTCAGCATCTTGACAACATGGAGGCTCTGTATTTCCTGCGTTGTCAGTCCTGTGAATCTTTCTGATTGCTTGTGTTCAGATTTTTTATTTTTTCTTTGTAGAAAAGCGCAAGATACTTGCACAAGGAGCTCCCTGCCCGCATCGCTCACAGAATTAAAGGATTTCGCAGCTTGCCCTTCATCATTGGCTGCAACCCCACCATCCTACATGTGGTGAGTAATTGTGTACACACAGATCAGCCACCAGTAGTATTTGCAACTCTCCCTAGGAACTTTGTTACATTTTGATACTTTTTTTTAAATACACTTCTCCAAAAAAATTGAAGACTTTTTAATCTGTGTCTATCATCCAGTCAATGAAACTCCTGGGATATTGATCTGGTCAGGTAAGTAGCAGAGGGGGTTGTTAATCAGTTTCAGCTGCTTTGGTGATAATGAAATTAACAGATGCATTAGATGGGCAACAATGAGACGACCCCCAAAACAGGAATGGTTTTAGAGGTGGAGGCCACTGACCTTTTTTTTCCCCTACTCATCTTTTCTGACTGTTTTGCACTGGGTCAGTGTCGCTAATGGTAGCATGAGGCCATACCTGGACCCTACAGAGGTTGCACAGGCAGTCCAGCTCCTCCAGGATGGCACATGAATACGTTCCATTGCCAGAAGGTTTGCTGTGTCTCCAGCACAGTCTCAAGAGCATGGAGGAGATTCCAGGAGACAGGCATTTACTCTAGGAGGGCTGGACAGGGCTGTAGAAGGTCCTTAACCCATCAGCAGGATCGGTATCTGCTCCTTTGTACAAGGAGGAACAGGAGGAGCCCTACCAGAGCCCTACAAAATAACCTCCAGCAGGCCACTGGTGGGAATGTCTCTGACCAATCAGGAACAGAATTAATGAGTCCTCGAGTTTGACGAAATCCATCTAATGAATGCAATAGGCAGACTAAGAACAGACAATCAGGCTGGGGTGGAAAGATCTAGGTGATACTGCATGACCTCCAACCAGGAAATGAGGCTGAGCTCAATCTGACTGGCTGCAGCTTCTAATGCACAATGTGAGAAGCTCTCAGTGTGCAGGAAAGTCAGAGTAAGCCATTTCAATCCAGGAGAGGAGCCGGTACAACTGTGCAAGACTGAAGGGAAGGCTGGAGGTCACAATTGCTGATCTGAATGATCTTTTTCTTTCGCCTGCAGCATGAGCTATACATCCGCGCTTTCCAGAAGCTGAGCGAGTTCCCGCCGGTGAGTGTCTCCTTCCATATTCTCCTCCATGGAAATGTATTTTGTGTTTTAGTCTCTGCAGGCCAGGGTTACCCGTCTCTCTTCCTGCACAGATCACAGACCACGAGGTGGAGAGCCAGTACTGCAAACTGCTCCGGCAGCTCCTGGATGACCATAAGGATGTGGTGACCCAACTGGCTGAGGGGATGAGAGAAATCCGCAAACACATCCAGGTAACATAGAGCCAGCTTTGACCCATCGCAGTGGTGCCTCACACGTCACCGTCTAATAGCACCATGCTGGGGCACTTTACACTGGACTTGCAGTTTTCAGTTGCTACCAGACGTCCTCCTTAACCCCCCTGGAGGTATTCCTGAGTGTAGCTCGGGGTAAAGTTTCAGCACCACAAGCGGTAACCCCCCCCCCGAGCTACATTCAGGCTTACCATGCAGCGCTGCTCCGGGATCTCTTCTGCACTCACCTTGTCCTGCGCTCCCACGATGTCCCTCCTGCAGTGTCCCCGGGAATGTCCCTCGGCGGATGCCGGCATCCGTCTTCCGGGTTCCATTCCCTGCGACGTTGGGACATACGAGGGGCGGAACTGGCAGGAAATTTGAAAGTTGTAAAAGTGACATTCACTAAACTCACTAAAATCTGATAGTATTCCATTCCTGTATCAAACCATTTCACATACGTTTTGTCCCAAGTGCTTTGTCCGGCGCCCTGCCTGCATTTTTACCGCCCTTTCTGCCTGGAAACTGAGAAACGTCCATGGCGTCCAAAAAGCGTCCCTTTGTCAGACGCGGTTTTAGACCGGCTAGAGAACAGCGATAATAAATCAGAACCACTTGCAGAATTGAGTGATAATGATTGGTGGGGGAAATTCCTCATCAGACACTGAAAACGATTCTGCGACTTTGCTCAGTGATGTGCGAACTTGGCGCTCTATTTCACATTTCAGTGTTTTTGGTTTGATTACATTATTGAATTTTATTATTATTATATTATAATTTATGATTTTCGTGTTTCAAATTTTATCCTCCCCGGGATGTTTACTAGACTCTCTTGTTTGGACAGATTTCAGGGAGTTATTCCTAAAAATTACAGCCTACAATAAACATATTTCGATGCAAAAAAATGTACCACTTTGGAAGTTAAGGGCCAGTTCATGCTACAAAAATGCACTCCGGATGCATTCCAGATATGTTTTTGCTCACAGTTCACACCCCACACAGCTCCGGTTCAGTTTTGATGCAGTTTCCTATGTTCCAGCATGGTTCTGTACAGGATAAAATGCAGCATGTTGGTTTTTTTTTTTTTTTCTGCACCAGGAACTGACTGCACTAGTGTGAACTAGGGCCATTGGAATACATGGAAAACACTGTGCATTCATTTTTGATGCAGAAAAAAAAGCGCACTGGACTGCATCTAGCCCTAAAGAACAAGGTAGTACTTATGTTTTGTTCTCTGAGCCATCATGTGTTGAAAAGATTTCTGTTATAAAACACTTGGTGAACCTTCTAGAATTCATCCTGTGAGGTGCTCTCTGCGTTCTTGCTGCCATGAAGTATATATCATACAGGTTCAAGTAGAACTATGGCCTCCCGTTAAAAAGGTTACTGTAGCAATAAAATGTGTAGGAATAAAAATAAAGTATGTGTGTGTATAATATATATATATATGGGAGGGGATCATCCTCTGCTTCAGTATGTCACAGTACATGTTGGCATTCATGGTTCCCTCAATGAACTGTAGCCCCCCAGTGCCGGCAGCACTCATGCAGCCCCAGACCATGACACTCCCACCATCATGGGGCCCCAGACCAGATGACACCCCCACCACCATGGGGCCCCAGACCATGACACTCCCACCACCATGCTTGACTGTAGGCAAGACACACTTGTCTTTGTACTCCTCACCTGGTTGCCGCCACACACGCTTGACACCATCTGAACCAAATCAGTTGATCTTGGTGTCATCAGACCACAGGACATGGTTCCAGTAATCCTTGTCCTGTGAGCTGCAGTGCCTGGATGGGGAGCACGTGAGACACAAATGAAGGAAGATTTTGGCTCCATCAGGGAAGGTAACTTTTTGAGGCTTGTGTAGTACAGTAACTGGATTGGTTACTTGAGAGCCCCTATACCAGGGGTAGGCAACCTGAGAGCCACAGGACTACAAGTTCCATCATGCCTCTGCAAGTCATAGCTGAAACTGTCAGTTTTTTGTAATCTTTGCAATGCTTCATGGGAAATGTAGTTTCACAACAGCTAGAGAGCCACAGGTTGCCTACTCCTGATGTATACCAAAAAAGACGACCACCACTGGCCTAAAGTACAGCCCCTGACTTTGATATCGCATACTATACGTGGCCTTTTGGCAAAGACAGCCGAATATGGATGAAGATTATAGGCATGATACAAGAAATGATCCAAGACTGCAGACGTGGTACAGCAGATGGTCAGGGACTATGGGCTTGCTACAAGAGATGGTCAGAGATTGCAGACATGCTGGAGAGGTTCGCGAGACTCCAAAGATGCTGAAGAAGTCTAGAAAATGGATCAGGAGACGCATTACATGAGACTGCTAGTGATCAGTGCTATAGCACAGCAATAAGGGAACAGACTAGTGTTTGCAGGAGTCCTGAGGGGTGCACAAGGGCCACAGGTTGGACAACAGGGGGTGTAGACTGTCACACAGGAGCGTTCAGTTGTACTATGTGGACAGATGGCACAGTTGTAGTGGGTGTTGGCTGAGCACCGGTAACTCTTGTCTGGAATAGCTCTGTAGCCAAGTTCAGTCCATCTAGAAATGATTTATTGGGTGATGTGCGGAGATTGGTGACAATGGAGGTTGCTGTGAACTCAATCCCTGCCGTTTCCTCCCTCTCAGGACGAGAAGGTGATCCGATTCTTCTTGGATAAAACATTGACGTCTCGCCTGGGTATTCGGATGCTGGCCACTCACCACCTGTCTCTGCACGAGGACCGGGTAATTGTGACTTCTCCTCCTTGCCTGTAATAATCGCCCGTCTTGTGTTCGGTCCTTCCGTGACACATCGACTTATTTATACTACTGAATACAATACTGTCCAGGATCATTCGACCTATATGTGTGGCACTCTTAATGCTTCCGTAATTGGTCATGTGACTAGGCTGTCCTCCCCCAAGTTCCAAAATTATAGAAAAAATAACAGGACTTCTCTATGCTTTTATAAGTAAGTCAAATATTCTTTGAAAAGCAGCGGTAAGACCTCAAACTGCCAGTTATTTTTTAATTTGGCCCCTTAGCAGCAGATTTTTACATCCGCCTCTTTATGTGACTGTTGTGCAGTCCCATCATATTCCAGTGACACCAACATTCACATTTGTTTCTGTTTTGTGTTTTTACTCCAGCCAGATTTTGTGGGGATCATCTGTACCCGTCTGTCCCCCAAGAAGATAATTGAGAAGTGGGTGGATTTTGCCAGGTAACTGCAGTTAGTCCTCTCTCTCTTTCCTTTGCTGATCTGATGCTCTTAACCTCTTGACAACGATCGCACGCAAATATGCGATGACCTCTCGGCCTTGATGCTGAGCGACCGCATATTTGCATGCAATTAAAAAATACATATGTGCTAAGAGCGCGCGCTCCTACATATGGCCGCTACTCCCGGAAAGGTCCCGATCTCCCCTTTTGAACAGGACTTTTTCCGATCATGTGATGGCGATTCACAGTGGTCACATGACCCTAAAACCCCGCCCCGCCTCTCGGCTTCTGAAACTCTTAAAGGGCCGGGAGGCGCCGTCACCAAGAGGTTAAAGCTCACTTATTTTATGAATTTTTTTCAGTTTCACCAAAGAAATTATACTTTTTTTTTTTTTTTTTTAATATATATAGACGTTTGTGTGAACACAAGTATGGGAACGCCCCTCGGGTTCGAATTAATGGTCATGTGGCAGCGCGCTTCCCCTTCATTCCGATGCCACTGGATTACATCCTTCCAGAGCTGTTGAAGAACGCCATGAGGTATGTCCGGTGTGAGCTGTAAGCCAACAAAGGAGGAAAGAACAGGAGCTCAGTTTTCTTTTTCTGTCCCTTTAGGTCCACCATGGAGAGCCACCTCGACACCCCCTACAATGTCCCCGAGATCGCCATCACCATTGCCAATAATGACATTGATCTGATCATCCGGTAGGAAGGCGGCTTCTAATTGATCTGTTCTGCACTGAATACCTCCCATATCAACAGTGTCAACCAAAAAAGCACCCCGTGTGGGGAACATGTTGCATATCTAAAGCTGACATTTTCTGAAGGGGGGAAAAAAAAAAAAGGAATACTCGCACAGCAAAAAAACCAAAATGTTGATAACCTTTCTGCATGCTATCAGTGGAAAAAGTTTTGGCTTTGGATACACTTTAACCTGTTCACGCCGAGCGCCGTCTGGGCCTTGACACCGAGCAGCTGCACAATTGCATGCAATTAAAAAAAAAAAAAAAACGTGCTGAGAGCGCGCGCCCTGCGCGCTCCCAGCACACATGTCCGGTACTCACAGAAAGGTCCCGATCTTGTGAGATTGAGTTGAGTGCAGCCATATTTATGGTAACATCATACTTAAAGAGCAACTCCAACCCCCCCCCCCTCTGGGTGATCTATGTATATGGATTTTTAAAAACTTTGTAGCAGATTCCTATTACAGCACTGCAGATTGAAATGGAAAGGTAATTCATAACGTCACAGTATGACCTGTCGTGGTGGGTTTTTTTTTTTTGTTTTTTATTGTTGCATTTAACATGTAAGACCTGATGAAGGGGAGTGTCTGAACCCCTGAAACGTGTTGAAATTTTTATTCTACTGAAGATCGAATAATATACCATTTTAGACTCTGACCTTTGATGCAGCACCCTTACTGCATTTTACATTTGGAGTTTGCAGTCTTCCAGTGCCACCCTGGTCATGTGATTGCCTTGACACCCTGTTGCTACGGCTGTTGTCATTGTACACCAGTGTGCTGAATACATTTTAACCGCTATAGCACAAATACTGCTACAGGGTAGCACGGGTGCGCAAAATCAAATGTGTGTGTGTGTATATGATGTGATTTTTGCAGTTCCGGCTAGGGGGGGTGCTCGCACTGCCATTCGCGGTTTCGGCTGGCAATCACCAGGTCCCAACCGGCGATTCCCTGCCGGCGCCCAATGATCTCCGAGGATTTCCAACGGGGGAGAGACCTGTATGTAATCAATACAGATCTCTCCCCTGTCAGCTCCTGTACACTGCTTTTGTATGGCTCTGCATACCACAGCAATACAAGGCAGTGTGCTTACAGTGAAGCACACAGTTAACCCTTTGATCGCCCCAGATTTAACCTCTTCCTGCCCAGTGCCATTAGTACAGTCAGTGCTTTTTTTTTTTTTTTTTTTTTTTTTTTTTTTTTTTTTTTATTAGCACTGATCACTGTATTGGTGTCACTGGGGATGTGGATGAATGTCCTGCTGCCTTCCCCCAGTGTCAGAGCGCCTGCTGCAGTCCAGTTAGAAGTCGCTGGTCGCCGCCATTGCTAGTAAAAATAAAAAATAACCCAGTGTTCTATGTGTGTGTGTATGTATATATATCTATCGCCATTTGTAGACACTATAACTTTCAGGTACACCAATTAATTTACACATATTGGGATCTTTTTTTTTTTTTTTTTTTTTTCTTTTTTTTTTTTAATGGGTATGTTTTTATAGCAAAAAGTAAAAAAAATTTTTTTTTTTTTCAATAGATATCTGACCGAGGAGGTGGAATCCCCCACGATCACCTGGAGAAAGTGATGGATTATCATTTCACCACGGCAGAGGCCAGCACTCAGGACCCCCGCATCAACCCCATCTTCGGCAATATGGTGGACATGGTGAACAGCGGGCAGTCTGGGCCCATGCACGGGTAAGATGGACTTGTCATCCGAGATCTGCGTCTGCAGTCCTGTGTGGGGTTTACACTTCTCTTCCCTTTTCTCTTCTCTCCACCGTTGTTGCATAGATCTGCTATAAGTCCCAGGTTACACTGCAATACACTGGGTGTGCAATCTGCTCCAATGACTGTAGGACCCTAAAGACTGATCACAAATGCAGTGCGTTTGCCTGCATCGGATTGCGTGGTACCATGTGATCTAGTTGCAGCACGTGTGTGTTTTTTTTTTTTTTTTTTTTTTTTAAGCAATGCATTCACTACTTTTGGTGTGATTTCAGGCCACTCCAATGAATGGGCTGAAAGTTGCATGGCATTGAGTGGCACAGGACGTCCTGTATGAACCCGCACTAATAAAGGAAGCTCACCTCATCTTCTGGCATAGAACGGGCTCTAGTGGTGGTACAGCTTTTCCTTTCCCATCCTCCTAGTTAACCCTTTAAATTTGAAACAATCGGAATATTCGGCATTGATAACAGAATCTAGTTTTAGCCAGTATAGGTACCAAGTCAGTTATTCTATTGGCTTCCAGTATTCTTGTAATCCGTTACTCATCAGGGCCCAGACTAGCATAGGGAATGGTGGTACCAAGGAGCAGTCAGGCAGTGCTATCCATTCATACTAGGAGCTGGGTCATCATTATGCTGCTTTATCATTGTCAAATCAGCAGGCTGGGGGTCAGGTTGTGGAGGCGGTATACTACTTAAAAGTAGTTGTAAACCCCTCCATATCCCCATTGAAGTTACTGGCCTCAGGTGATACATAGGGATGAAACGAATCTTACATAAGGTGTACCAGTTTATCTGCAGACATTCTCTGCATCTGTTCAAAGTGCTGGATTTTATAAAGCTTGCCTGAGCTTTCAAGAAAAAGGGGGTGGGGAGCTGAAACTACAAACTGCAGAGCTCAGTGAGGAGAGCTGATTGCAGTGTGAAGGTGGGTGTGTCCCTTCTCTCCACATAGGAACACACTAAGGCTGTCCAATCACAGGCTGTACCTTTCCCTGTCACCGTTTTTCTGTTGGTGTCAGGAAAACTTGTCAGAAATAACTCAGTGCTGAGTTTATAAAGCTTGTCTAAGAGTTAAAAAAAAATAAAAAAAATTACACACTGCAGAGCTCTGTGAGGAGAGTTCTCAAAGTTGATTGAAGGGAAGAGACACACCCCTTTCCCTTCCACACAGGAACAGAGCTGAGTTAATCTGCTGGAGCTCCACCCCTGACACCCTTTTTTCTCTTGGTGTCAGAATTGGTTCATGCTGATGACAGAGGAAGGAGGCAGCAGACAGAAATGACATGCCGCGCTCTGGATTGAGGCAAGCACACACTATAAAGGGATGTGCTTTGTTCATATTTCATTTCTAAGGATTACAACCACTTTAACTGCAGTGCAGGAAAGTGAAGTAATTGAACGGGCTAGGAAGTCCGGCAGAGCTGTGTAAATCCCAAGACCAGCTGGCCTGGATTGCCAAACTCTGGCCATGTTAAAGTGTTTTGGACCAAAAAAAAAAAAAACAAACAAAAAACCGAGTTTATCTCTTGCCATGATGTCCTGAAGAAGACTATAATGATACTTTATTATTTTTCTTAATTTTTTTTTTTTTTCTCTCCCCAGCTTTGGTTTTGGCCTGCCGACCTCCCGAGCCTACGCCGAGTACCTAGGTGGTTCCCTCTGCATCCAGTCTCTTCAAGGCATTGGAACAGACGTGTACCTGCGCATCAAACACATTGACGGAAAGGAGGAGAGCTTCCGCATCTGAGGACAGCCTGGAGTCCTTACAGCTTCTGATCAGACAATTGGCTGCATTGCCCTGTAACCCCCCCCCCAACCCCCCCAACACTACCACCATTCCACCGGCTAATGGGATCGTTTTCCTTCTACACCTCAGTCTGCTTGTCTTCAGCAAAAGCCAATGTGGACCCCAAATCTTTGTCTTCAGGAGCCAACTTGGACCCTGAATTTGCCTTCTACAGGAGCCAATGTGGACCCCATTTGTTTGTCCATAGGAGCCAATGTGGACCCCAATTTTTCATTCTCCAAACGATGTTTAAAAGCTTTCCAGAGACCTAGTTTCAAGATGAACTCCTCAATTCCAAATAAAAACTTCTTCTACGAAGACGAGAATGCAGTTAACTTGCCGATCTTTGGGATTCCAATCAATGAGATTAAAGATGCCGATTCGGATTATTGAGATTGTACAGAGAAGAGATCTGTGGTCTGTTGGTGGACCGCTCAGTGCCAGTGTTCAATTTATAAGCTGATTACCAGTATTTAGAATTTTTACCAAAAATGACGTTCCTGTTTTGGGATTTGGCAGTTTTTTTTTTTTGTTTTTTTTTTCAGGGTACTCAGGGTTTTTTTTGGATTATCCTTGGAGGATCCCAAAATACAAAAGAGACCTAATCCTGCTTCCTTGTACGCTGGATGTTCTTGAGAAGATGCCACCATGGTTCCATTGCCCTGGCTTCCTTTTATCTGAAAAGTGCAATCTAACCGTTCCTTGAGGAGCCGTCCACGCGGTCATCCATCAACCTATAGTACTTATGGATTCCGGCCTCCAGGATTTCTGGCCTTTCCTTTGAGACGGTCGTGGCGAGATTTTCGGAGCGCTGTGGACTCCCTTGATCTTTGGTTGGGCGCAGAATGGAGTCTCTGTGCTCAGCCGGAGGTGAAGGCATAAGGACTTGTTTGGTGATACATCTATTTTACTCGTTTTTGTGATGCAGATTATAAGCCGACCTTTTTGGCCGCCCTCCTTGTTCCATGTTCTTCATATTCGGCCGCCCTCCTCGTTCCATGTTCTTCATATTCGGCCGCCCTCCTCGTTCCATGTTCTTCATATTCGGCCGCCCTCCTCGTTCCATGTTCTTCATATTCGGCCGCCCTCCTCGTTCCATGTTCTTCATATTCGGCCGCCCTCCTCGTTCCATGTTCTTCATACTCGGCCGCCCTCCTCGTTCCATGTTCTTCATATTCGGCCGCGCTCCTCGTTCCATGTTCTTCATGCAGGACCTCCTTCTTTGTGTACATTTCAGCCTTACGTGCCGCCACAACGTGTCTGGACTGTGCCGCTATAGAAGAGCTTTTTGTTCCAGATATCATCATACTTGTGCAATATTCTGGTGCTGTTCATCCGACAACAAATGTTAACCGATGGGCATCTCAGGACAGCACTCCCGGAACCCAACCCACCAAACACCCCCCAAGTGGGAGTCCAGCGACTGTCAGTGGACCATTCTTGTTTTCACAGTCAGCAGTAAATGGATGGACACGCCCGCCAGTCTGACCTGGAGGGATTCGTTCTGTTAACTGGCAACAGGCAGAAAGTGCAGTCGTTCTTCGATGACCTGGAGTCACTACCTTGCTTGTCTCCTACCACAGTAAGGGGGGTCTTGGCGTTTCTGCGGGGGTGCTTACTCTCTCCCCTGTGATGGACCATGTTCTGGTTTCTGTTCCTCTTCAGTCATGTAGCTGCTTCCATTGATGTCGCCTACAGCTCTGCTACTTCCATTGAAGGGGGAGGATCCTCATGGGCGTGTCCTTTGTGACGTGATCTATCCCGTACATTTTGTGGACGTTTTTTTCTGCTGATCTTCCACCTTCCTATGACAATCAAGAGATGTTTTTATTACACGGCATCCGTCGCTTTGATTAAACGGTTTTGTATGTCGTCGGTCACCAGTAGAAAGTTTGGTCTTTGCGTGACCTTCATACAGGCATGTTGCGTGTTCCTATTGCTTCCTCTGTATCTCCGTCACACTTGTTAAAGTCGCTTTTAAAGAGCGTGTTTTATGGAAAGGAAAATGCTGTAGGGTAAGTTGTATCTGGAAACAGGTCCAGGTTCTTTCTGGTTTATAACTAGTCCTGTTAAATGAACAAGGTAAACTCCAAAGTCCACATCTGCCTGTGTCTGTGGGCTATAGTTCATCCCCGCCTCCGTGTGTCCCAATCAGACCACTGTGGAAGGATGTTCCAGCAGCCGCACACCAATCCCAGCCTTTCACTTCATTAGACCTGTTCAGCTGCTTGGTAACACAAATTGCTAATCAGCCAATCACATGGCTGCATTCAGGCATCAAGACGACTTGCTAAAATTCAAACCGAGAATCAGAAAGGGGAAGAAAGGAGATTTAAGTGACTTTGAATGTGGCATGGTTGTTGGTTGGGTCTGATGGATTTCAAAAGCTGTTGATCTCCACAACCAGCTGTAGGGAAATCCAGACTCATCAGATCAGGCAGCGTTTTCCCATCTTCTACAAGTCAGCACAAAAACGCTACTATTGGTGTCTTTCATCTAAATTTTTTTTTTTTTTTTTTTTTTTCTAGTGTTTTTGTGAGCTTATAAAACACGCCAATGAGCCTTCAATCAAAACAATTGTAGTTACCTTGTAATTCTCTTTTGATGTTTGCTCATTCTCCTCTGACAACAAGGCATTTTCCTCCACACAACTGCCCCTCGCTGGATATTTTCTCTTTTTCAGACCATTCTCTGTAAACCCTAGAGATGGTTGTGAGGGAGAATCCCAGTAGATCAGCAGTTTTGGAAATACTCAGACCAGCCCGTCTGGCACCAACAACCATGCCACGTTCAATGTCACTTAAATCCCCTTTCTTCCCCATTCTGATGCTCAGTTTGAACTTCAGCCATTTATCTTCACCATGTCTAGAGGTCTAAATGCATTGAGTTGCTGCCATGTGATTGGCTGATTAGCAATGTGTTACCAAGCAATTGAACAGGAGGACCTAATAAAGAGGGCGGTGAGGGTATAACTAGCACATAAAAGCAGCCTCAGCTCTCTCCTTGTAGGCCATGGCTCCAGTGTGCTTCACCCTACTCCTGGGGCTTCATCAGACCAGCCACACTCTGATGACATTTGCATGGATGAAGCTTTATTGTTCCAGACAATGAACACAGGTCTGCCTAGACCCTCCTTGTGCAGACATGGTTCAGCCATAGAGGGTTTCATCGTTATAGGCTTGCAACATTGAAGCACATTTATTTTTTGTGAACATGTTCAAAATTTGTTACCTGAATATCTCCAGGTAAGATCTTTCCAGTAAGAACACTTCCTGTTGCAGACTGACAACACCAATCCACTGCCTTACATCTGACAACAGCGTGGTCATTCTGGGCTCGCAGCATTAAAGCAAATTCTTTTTTGTGGACATGTTGCAAAGTTTGTTACCTGGAGATCTCCAGGGGTGGTGTCCAGGTGAGATCTTTCCGGTGAGGGCTCCAGGTGAGATCTTTCCGGTGAGGGCTCCAGGTGAGATCTTTCCGGTGAGGGCTCCAGGTGAGATCTTCCGGTGAGGGCTCCAGGTGAGATCTTTCCGGTGAGGGCTCCAGGTGAGATCTTTCCGGTGAGGGCTCCAGGTGAGATCTTTCCGGTGAGGGCTCCAGGTGAGATCTTTCCGGGAGGGCTCCAAGTAAGGTCTTTCCGGTGAGGGCTCCAGGTGAGGTCTTTCTGGTAAGGTCTCCAGGTGAGGGCTCCAGGTGAGGTCTTTCTGGTGAGGGCTCCAGGTGAGGTCTTTCTGGTGAGGGCTCCAGGTGAGGTCTTTCTGGTGAGGGCTCCAGGTGAGGTCTTTCCGGTGAGGGCTCCAGGTGAGGTCTTTCCGGTGAGGGCTCCAGGTGAGGTCTTTCCGGTGAGGGCTCCAGGTGAGGTCTTTCTGGTGAGGGCTCCAGGTAAGGTCTCAAGGTGAGGTCTTTCCGGTGAGGGCTCCAGGTGAGGTCTTTCCGGTGAGGGCTCCCAGGTGTGAGGTCTTTCCGGTGAGGGCTCCCAGGTGTGAGGTCTTTCCGGTGAGGGCTCCCAGGTGTGAGGTCTTTCCGGTGAGGGCTCCCAGGTGAGGTCTTTCCGGTAAGAACACTTCTTGTTGCAGGCTGACAACACCAAGCCACTGCCTTACATTTGGCAGCAGCCTTTCCGGCCTGCAGTGCAAGCGCCTTAACGCATCTGCAAAGCCCCCAAACCGTGCACGACAGGCTGACCACACTGTTGCTAATTGCAAGACAGGGGCTTAGTGTTGTCAGCCTGAAACAGGAACTGTCCTTACTGGAAGGATCAACACGAAAAATAAAATTGCATCAGATTCACAAAAAATTTGCTTTAGGGCCAGTTCACCCTTTAGAAACGCAGTCCTGATGCGTTCCAGGCGTGTTTCTGCATGCGCCTTTTTGATGCGTTCCACTTAATTTTTCCCCTCTTTTTCTTCAATTTAAATAGACGTGCGTTTTTGATGCATTTTACGGAGTTCCAGTACAGTTGTGTGCAGGAAAAGTGCAGGCTGCTTTTTTTTTTTCTTCTTCTTCTCTCCTCCAACCGGAACGCACTGGAACTGCAAGCACTAATGTGAACTATGATATTGACAATCATATAGCCTGCTTTCTGTGCATTTTGGATGCAGAAAAAAAGCAACTGAAATGCATGTAATGTGAACAGGCTCCAAGGGCATGTTTTTGGCACGGTCTGATCCGTTTTTAAGCAGGTTTTTGATGTGTTCGTTTTTTTTTTTTTTTTCCTTCATTTTAAATGGGGACATGTGCGTTTTTGGTGCATTTTTTTGATGCACTTTACTGAAATCCAGTACAGTTCTGTGCAGGAAAAATGTAGCCTGCTCTACTTCTTCCTTCTTCCCCCCCCCCCCCCCCCTGCAACAGGAACGCACAGGAACTGCAAGCACTGATGGGAGCTGACATTGATGACCATATCACCGACTTTGCAGGGGTTTTTTTTTTTTTTTTTTTTATGCAGAAAAAAAGCAACTGAAATGCATGTTGTGTAAAACCGGCCCTTAATGTTGCAAGTCTGGAAGGATTCAGCCCACTGCAGCCCATCAGTATCAGGAATGTCTAGGCCCGGGGTGGGCAACTTGTGACTCTGCAGTTGTTGTGGAACTACATTTCCCATGAGGCATTGCAAAGACCAGAAGTTCCAAGCATGACTACAGGTCCCATGAGACATTGCAACACTGACAGTTACAGCTATGACTTGCAGAGCATGATGGAACTTGTAGTCCTGCAACAGCTGGAGAGCCGCAGGTTGCCCACCCCTGGTATATGCAGACCTGTGTGAACGGCGGAGCAGGGACCTTGTGTTGTCAGCATGACACAGGAAGCTGTCCAGGGATAACTTGCACCTTTTTCCAGCTCTGTGTAAGTTTTGGTCTGGTAGCTGAGCGAGGACGATGGTGAGAAGCTACAGCGGCGGATTTTATTCCAGCGAATGCTGATTGGCCAGAGTCTGACGTTGCTGCGTAGTGCCCTGCGGTAGGCTCTGGCGCCCTCAGCCATCGTGGCGTTCCATGAACAAACGTTTTTTGTGTCTGGGTATCACAGGGTTAAAGTCAATAGGTAACGGATCTGTTCTCATTAAGTAGGTCGTAGCTGAGAATGATTCACACGAGGTGAACGTTTAACTCTTGTCACGGATCAAAACGCGCACACACCCACGGCGACTAGCTAACTGAGGCGTTCTCCGTGACCGGGGTTAGGAGGGAATGAGGGGGGGGGGGCTTACTCTGAGCATAGAAGGCCGGCCGTGATACATCGCTCTGCCGGAGTAAATGAGTTTGGCTTGTGCCAATTGACGTGCGCCTTCCCCCTACAACTGGCGGGTTAATGGGTGATGGGGAGAGCTGATGAATCGATGAATGACGGAGGGTCGGACCCGGCCAGAAGATGACATGTATGATGATAAAGCACTTACCTGCACACAGATGCCATTCCTGCCCCTCCCCCACCCTGCAGTGACTGTGTCTGTGGAGAGTTTTTGATTTTTCAGTGTATTATATATATTTTTTTTCTCTTTTTGTTCAATAATAAAGTTGTCTGACTCAGGCCTACAGAACAACCACTAAAGGTGTATGACGGATGGTTTGTCCTGTGTGTGGGGGGGTACTGGAGGACGTGAGGGGGTGGGGAGCATCCTACACTGCAGACCATGTCAAGAGGAGATCATTCACTGCAGGGCCATAGATCAACACATAGAAAACCATTGTTCTGTGTGTCCTGCTCACACCATACATGTGTAGTACATACAAATTCCACGTGAATGCATGTCACCGCACTGTGCCTTATTGGAAGTATAAATACAGTTTAAACACAGGGTTTTTTTTTTGAGGGGGGGGGGGGGTTTGGGTTTTTTTTCTTAAGGTTTTTTTCTTTTTTGGGGGGGGGGGGTCTTTTTTATTTTTTGGTGGTATATGTGGGGGTTTTTTGTTTTTTTTTAACTTTTACTTTTTTGTTTTACTTTTTGTTTTTTTTGTTTTGTAAAGGGGGGGGGGGGGGTGGTCTTTTATTGGTGATTATGTCCTACACTCATGAAAACCCCAAATCCACAATCTCAGAAAATGAGAATATTGTGAAAAGGTGGAATATTCTCGGCTCAAAGTGTCCCACTCTAATCAGATCATTCAGCCATAACACCTGCAAAGGGTTCCTGAGCCTTTAAATGGTCTCTCAGTCTGGTTCAGTAGGAATCACAATCATGGGAAAGACTGCTGACCTGACACCATCATTGACACCCTCCATAAGGAGGGAAAGCCTCAAAAGGTAATTGCAGAAGAAGTTGGATGTTCCCAAAGTGCTGTATCAAAGCACATTAATAGAAAGTTATGTGGAAGGGAAAAGTGTGGAAGAAAAAGGTGCATAAGCAGCAGGGATGACCGCAGCCTGGAGAGGATTGTCAGGAAAAGGCCATTCAAAAGTGTTGGGGACTTTCACAAGGAGTGGACTGAGGCTGGAGTCAGTGCATCAAGAGCCACCACACACAGATGGATCCTGGACATGGGCTTCAAATGTCGTATTCCTCTTGTCAAGCTGCTCCTGAACAACAAACACGTCAGAAGTGTCTTACCTGGGCTAAAGAAAAACAGACCTGGTCTGTTGCTCAGTGGTCCAAAGTCCTCTTTTCTGATGAGAGCAACTTTTGCGTCTCATTTGGAAAGCAAGGAACCCGAGTATGGAGGAAGAATGGAGAGGCCCAAGGACCCCGAGTATGGAGGAAGAATGGAGAGGCCCAAGGACCCCGAGTATGGAGGAAGAATGGAGAGGCCCAAGGACCCCGAGTATGGAGGAAGAATGGAGAGGCCCAAGGACCCCGAGTATGGAGGAAGAATGGAGAGGCCCAATGACCCCGAGTATGGAGGAAGAATGGAGAGGCACAAGGACCCGAGTATGGAGGAAGAATGGAGAGGCCCAAGGACCCGAGTATGGATGGAAGAATGGAGAGGCACAAGGACCCCGAGTATGGAGGAAGAATGGAGAGGCACAAGGACCCCGAGTATGGAGGAAGAATGGAGAGGCACAAGGACCCCGAGTATGGAGGAAGAATGGAGAGGCACAAGGACCCCGAGTATGGAGGAAGAATGGAGAGGCACACACTGCAAGTGCTTGAAGTCCAGTGTGAAGTTTCCACAGTCTGTGTTGATTTGGGGAGCCATGTCATCTGCTGGTGTTGGTCCACTGTGCTTCATTAAGTCCAGGGTCAACGCAGCCGTCTACCAGGAGATTTTGGAGCACTTCATGCTTCCTTCCACAGACCAGCTTTATGGGGATGCTGACTTCATTTTCCAGCAGGACTTGGCTCCGCCCACACCGCCAAAAGTACCAAAACCTGGTTCAATGACCGTGGGATTACTGTGCTTGATTGGCCAGCAAACTCGCCTGACCTGAACCCCATAGAGAATCTATGGGGCATTGCCAAGAGAAAGATGAGAGACATGAGACCGAACAATGCAGAAGAGCTGAAGGCCGCTATTGAAGCATCCTGGTCTTCCATAACACCTCAGCAGTGCCACAGGCTGATAGCTTCCATGCCACGCCGCATTGAGGCAGTAATTGCTGCAAAAGGGGCCCAAACCAAGTACGGAGTACATATGCAGCTTCTACTTTTCAGAGGTCCGATATTGTTCTATGTACAATCCTTGTTTTATTGATTGCATGGAATATTCTCATTTTCTGAGATTGTGGATTTGGGGTTTTCATGAGCTGTAAGCCATAATCATCACAATGATGACAAATCACGGCTTGAACTATCTTGCTTTGCATGGAATGAGTCTCATATATTAGTTTCACCTTTTAAGTTGCTGCACTGAAATAAATCAACTTTTGCACCATATTCTAATTTTTCCAGTTTCACCTGTATATGCGGCTGTGCGGGCCGTGTTATGCTCCTTGGGCACGAGAGCCCATTCATTTGAATGGACTCCTGTGACGCGTAGTGAAGAAGTCCAAATTAAAAGTATAAATGAATTGGTTTTATAAAGTTATAGCGTCTACAAATGGCGGTATAAATATTGGGATTATATATCAGTGACTTAGCGGGGCTGCAGCTGACATTCTCACAATGGGGGGGGGGGGGGGGGAGAATCTGAGTTGGTAGCACTGGCATCCACAGTGACACCAATACAGTGATCAGTGCTAAAAAAAAAAAAAAGCCAAGACTCCAGTGCACATCGCTGGATTGAGACGGGGCTTAGGTGAGTATTAGGGGGGCTGGGGGGGAATGGATAAAGGTAAAAAACCTTGAGCCTGTGCAACCAGGATGAGGTCACCTTTAGAACATATAACGTCCCATAGCTGCAGCCGCCTCCTACTAACCCCCCCAGACAGATGGCACCGGACTTCCTGTACAAGCTGTCAAATGGGAAAACAGTGCAGCTGTGCGGGGCTCCGCCCACATGGCAGCATCATTCATTCAAGGACTTCCATGAATAAACTGCAAGTCCTTAGCAGCTGACAGCTTGTAATCCTCAATGAACTTCCACAGCACTGTGATGCTTCCTGCCAGTATATCTGCTTCACCGTATATCCCCTACACCCCGTAGATCCCCCTACAC